TTCTTTTTTAAGTTTGTTTGAGTCAATTCAGTTGATTAAGTTGTGGAACATGAATTGTGAGGGCACAGTTTCAATCCCTAGCATTTCTCTCCACCCTTTTCCATTCTCTTAAAAAGCTTATAAGGAGTCTCTCCGTAAACAAAAATAAATAAAAATATATATATATATATATTATCTTTATTTATTTCTTTTTCCATTTTCTCTTCTCAACCAGATCTTCTCTTTGTAATTACACCAAACCAAAGAAAGCCTAAAGGTGAGGAAATGCAAGTTCAAATAATTAAGCAATTGTTTCTTACATAATCTATGATTTTCTTTTTTTAATTTTGGGAGGGGGGAGTCAAAGTGCAACAATACCCGGATAATAGAGCAGAAAAAGATGACTTGGCAGAAAATCGAATCACAACCTCTGCCACCAAAATCACACGTAGAACCCAAAGGACATGAACCAATAACAACTGAACCACAAACTTATTGGATGGACAAAATGGTTTAAGTGGGATTTAGTTTCTTTCCCACCATGTTTGGTAAATATTGAAGTTGAAAACTCATTCATTTTTTCAAAGTTTTCTTCGGAAGCTTTTGAACCAAAAAAACAACCGCACCTTCTTGAGATGTCTCAAGCAATGGCAGTTGTTTCGTTTCATCAGAAGATTGCCATAACAAAATTTGTCAGAAAAGAGTGAAAAAGAGGTCAGGGTCAATCATTAGTTCAAAACAAAGAAATCAAAATTGAAGTGCGGGGTTGCATACTCAGAAGGACAAATCTAACTTGAAGACTTGATGAATTGATCTGTTCTTCGGTGAAATTATCCTACACAAATTTGTACAAGCAGTCTAGCAGAAATAAATAAATCATCAGGTCAGTCATTCTGTGTGAACTGTCAACAAACTGTTACTAAAACAATACAACTTTCAAGTTAACGGGTATAAAGAATGGAAAATTGAAAATATTACCTTGTACTGACTGTAATGACTTCTCAGCCAAAATGCATTTAGTGCAGTAACGTATTACCATTGTACTCTCAGCCTCATGTTCTGCCATCTACATCAAAGCCAGAACCAGTCCAGCCAGGAGTTGAAGATCTAGTCTTGGGCACTGCACCAATTCCTTTGCCTCTTGACTGAAAGTTAATTTTCTTTTTGTTTCTTCCTTCTCCTTCACTAGGAGGCTGCAGTTTATGCTCATTCGTCACTGGAACTTCCTGACCCTGACCATTATTTTTGTTTGGAACATTCTCAACCAGTCCTCCATTTGATTCCCTTGTGTTGGAAACAGAACCATCTGGGCTTGCACTGTCCAGAGAAGTTGATCTCCCATCCTAGCATAATTCACGTGAAACTTTTAACATTCGACAGAATATGAATGTTTCATGAGACAAGTAGCTTGTGTCAGACAGAAATAAAGAGGTATTATTATATACATATAAAGTCAACAATAAGCTGGAGAGAGACATTTTCAGTAGAGAAGTCGTCGTGCAACCAGTGCACATTCTCATGTATCCAAAAACCATTCCTGTGATCCCAAAATGTTCAGTTTGAAACTTCAAACGTGTAGAAATATCATCAACCGTTTGACAGCAGGCGACCGTATATGTTTGAAACTTAGGACATGTTATAAGTTCTAATAGAGGTTTAGTCAAATTGTACTAACTTGCTTCCTACAGACATTGGTACCAAGATTAAAAAGACTTTCAGTCAGCATAGTCAGGATCTCTCTTCTTGAGGCAGCTATCTTTAGTAAACAGCATGGTCAGGATCACTTATACCTACCAAACAGTATTTTCATAATTCCAACTAACTTCTGGATTTGAACTGATCAGGTTGTTAGATAGTTAAACTATTTCACATTCCATCTGCTTAAAGAAACAAACTGAGAACTGTGTAAGAGACCTAAAGTACATGAATATGGGTGTGTTCAAATAGTCATTGACACACTTTCCGATCCATCCAACAGGAGAAGCATGAGTGTGGGTGAATTGAAATAAACATATGTTTGCCATGGCAAACCTAAAAACAAACATGCACCATGATGTTTCAACCTTCCAGGTAGCCATAATTATTCACTACCATACTTCCCAAGCTACTCAGAAACATAATAGAGGCAGATCAGCTAGTATTAAAGAAGTTACCTCAGGTCAACCACCAATGTAGAATTCATTAGGCTATCAGTAATATGATGCAATAGAAGCTATTGACTATTAGTGTGTTAGGATAACACCCAATAATCAATTATTATCCCCAAAATCATGGTAATACCATGAAAAAGTAGAAGAAAGTCAACTATTTGTTGTTTTTCCTTCACCACGAAATTGTTTTTGATCATTCCTCACCATGAAGCAGATCCAGACACACTATATATTAATAGAGTAATGGAGTTCTTCTCTGTTATGTTGTAAGCTGATTGGCACTTTGCCAACTCTGCATTAGTTTGTTAGTGCTATGTATCTTCCTCTGTAATATATATAAACTGGTCTGTCTTTATGAGATCAGAAAATATATGAAAATACAAGTTCTCCAAAATTCTCTCTCTTAATTTCTTAGATTTCTACATAGATAGATCTGAGAATGAGGAGGGTGATAAGAATAACTTACATTTTGAAGAATAGTTGAACTTCGATTAGGATTCATAGCTTCCAATCGTCTTTTCAGTTCCTCCAGCCTAGACAACTGAGATTTATTGCTCTCTTCAACCTATAAAAGATTGTTACTATCAAAACAGAGGATGAAAAAGTAGAATATTATGTCTGTTTAACAATCTATTTACCAGTTTGCTCAAGTCTTCACATAACTTCTGCTTGATTGCTTCTTCATCCCTCACTGCTTTTGATGCTGATTCCCACACCTACAACACATGCAGTCAAGATATACTAAAATTGAAAAAGTAAATAATGATGTTTATCAAAGTTTTTGATGATCAATTCTCAACTCTTCCATTGAGTTTTCTAGGAAATAATCCACTTTTCTAGAGCACAAGTCATCCACGCTGATTTAAATACGTGCTATTTATAATTTAAAAATAAGATTCCAAAGGAGATCAGTGGAAAAAGTATACAATATTAGACAAAAAGTAGAGAACCAATCGATGTATATGCATATGTTATGTTGTGTTGAGAGTTGAGACAAAGAATGGTTAAGAAATCTTATTTTTAATGTGTTTGGTTCAACTTATTTAGAGTATATAATCACACTTACTTTAGTTTCCTAAGAGAGTCTTTGAAAAACAAACTATTATTTCCCATAAAAAGGTTGCTCCAAACATGTTAATATGTTATTAATAGAGTCATGCTATTTTGACAAAGAAAAGGGAAAACTAGTTAGGTATAAGTAATAATGTCTTTTATTAAGCATTTAAACTCCCATTTTAATCCCTAAATTTGTTAATATATGTTGCTTTAGTTCTTGACTATACTTTGCAAAATTCCCATTAACATTGAAAAATGACATTCACTTTAGTCGTTTTCTATGCAAATTGACAGTGAATTATGAAGTGAAAAAAGACTAAAATGAATGACTTTTGTAAAGTCAAGAACTAAAGTGACTTTTGTAAAGACAAGGAATAAAGTGACACACTCTTATAATTACTCTTTATTTACCATAACAACGAATTGATGAACAAGAATATGCACACACTTGAGGTTAAATGTTGGAAACTAAGTTATTTTCAATTCAGCATTTGTACAAGTCAGACTAACTAAAAAGTAAATTAACAAAAACATTTTTCAGGCTATTTACAACCAGCACAAAACTGTCTTAACATTTTTTTTTCTCCAGCCTCATTGTAAACTCAATAACGGAAGTCACATAGCTAACTTGTAGCGAGTAGCGACATAGGCATATTGAATACATGGCACCCAGTCCCATACCTCAAAAATATCGATATCTTGAAAGAAGCAGGAAAAAAAGTTAATAGCAGTACATTAAAGTAACATACCACACGTGCTTGTTCTTCCTTTAGCTTTGCCACACGAACTTTCTCGGTTGATGCCTCTATCTTCTTCCTCAAATGCTCCAGCGCTTAAATTATGCGTGGCATATAAGAATGAAGCAAAGTCATTTCACATTTCACTCACTGATTACAAGAGTAACAACTCTTATTTTGTGCAAGAGGAAACAAGGACATATAAAAACCTGCTTTCTTTGGTCCAGATGTAAGCTTCATCTCCAATCCAAGATTTGCAAGCTCCCGCTCGACATCGCGAATTTTCGAATAGTTTTCTTGAATGTACCTGAAAATATTATAAAATTTGGAAGAGAAAAAAGAGAGTATTCAGTAGCTATAAAAAGTTACCTATTTCTACTATTTTGGCCTTTTTTTTGTAGCCATGTTATTGGCACGAAGATGGCATTGTCGATAACTAATTCCCTAGAGAACTTGATTCACCATTTTTAGTGGGTCTCCCCTCCCAACCACCTTTTTTTTTTTTTTTTTTTTTTTTTTTTTTCCATAAACCCCTTTTTTTCCATATACCAAGACCTTGTTTAAGAATACTGAATCGAATACTGCTAAGACCAACAACTTGTTGCTTCTATGTTGGCTTTAAACACAAAATAACAATTCATTTATCCTTTATTAAATACTCCATCTGCTTGAACTATGTCAGTTGCTTTTTTTTTTTTTTTATTAAATCCGTTTCAATTTATTAGTTACTTGTAGAAAATCAAGAAAATATTAATTATCTTCCTCCATTTATCATTGTCTTTAGACACCTCTGCTCAAGAGAAACCGTGCGAATAGTTTAACACCACCAATGCCGAATTGAACATTAAGAATCAAGGCTCAGAATACTTAAATTAATAAATGAAATGACCAAAATTAAAACAACGAATTAAATAGTAGCATTAGAAACTGCATATATATACAGAGAGAGAGAGTTACTTCTTCAATTGAAGTTGCTCTGCTTCGATTATCTGCAAAAGAAAGCAAGGAGATGATGATAGATTGAAAAAACGAAGAATGAAGAGAGAGAGAGAGAGAGAGAGAGAAAGAGAACCTGTTCGGTGTAACTGATAACGGGAGATTCTCTGGGGATGCCATCGGGGCCGATCTGAGGAACAAACGACGGATTCGAACCCATTTTTTTTTTTTTTTTCTGAATCGGATCGACGAAGCGCTCTATTCATGCACCAACACAACGTCAATCCTTTCTGCCTTAATTTTCTTCCTGGGTTATACTTACCATATTTCCTTTTCTTTATGTTTTTTCTTTCTTTTACAATTTTGGGAATGGATTTTCACCGACTCAACTTTTGAAAATATTTATACAACATGTAATATATTATTGTACTTTATTAAAAATAATATATTTGCTGGTAAATAGTATGAAAAAATGTTTAGTAGCTTTATACAATTTTTTTTATATAGATGATGTGTATTTTTTTATATAAAAAGGATTAAAAGTCCAAACAAAATAGTTATTTCATAATAAGATTTATTATATTTTTTATTAATAGAAGTAAATAATTATTAGTTTAATTGTCTAATCTATGATAGTCAATATCATAAGAGTAAGTCAAAGAAATCATGTAGTTAGAAGTGTTCATCGATAGGGTTGGATAAATTTTGAAAGGAAAAACTTTATTTCTTAATCATCCAATTAATTTGGTTTAAAAGTTAAATCAAATATAATCTAATTTAAATATACTATAGTTTGGATTAAATTAATTTTTGATTTTTTAAACATATCTATAATATTTTCATGGTTAAAATGAATTGTTAGTATAGTATTGATTAATAATAATATTATCCAATACTATTAATAAAGACATATAACTTTTTGGTCATTTTGTTAATCATTTTGTTCTTTAACATAAAAAAATATTTCTCTCTTCCATACTTTTTTATTTAATTTTATTTTTCTTTTTCTTTTTATTTTTGTAATTTTATTATTTAAACATCTCATGCTCTTTAAATAAATATTTAAAAATGTCCATATCTTCTAATTGTTAACTACTTACATATATTTAATTTCAATTACTTTTATTTTTTATGTATTACTTTTTTTTACATAAAATACACAAATGTAAGAAAGTGCTCTTTTTACTCAAGTAATAATAAAAAGTTTTCAATATATGAACTCAAGTAAACTATCAATATTTAGTAATATAAAAATTACAAAATCACTAACTTACAAAAAAAAAAGTAATAAAGTTTCAATTTTCAAGTACCTTAATGTATAGTCAATATATTCAGTTTACCACACTATATAATACAATTTCAAATTAGAAAATTTTTCATTGGCTAATCAAAATGATTTTTGTCCTCTATGGAGAAAAAATGGAGATTAGCTTTAATGTTTGTGTAACACTGTAAGTTTTTTATTAATTGTTTGTCTTTTAAAAATAATTGTGTATTAAGTTACTCTAAGGTGAGGTATTGAGAGACTTAGGGAGTTAAGAAACTCTTGAGGAGTCTTTAGGTAATTTAAAGGTTTTTCTAGGTAGATGTCTAATTTGACCCGAGGAAAGGAGTATATAAGGATTTTTTAAAAAAACTGAGCCTCATAAACTCATTCTCAAATAACCTTAAAGAGATTACAGAGAGAGGAGCTTTAGAGATTCTAACCTTCCTTATTCTTCTTCTAGACTTCCCAAGAATCTAAGGTTTTGTGTGAAAGTGTTGATTCGAAGTTGGACAACCTAGAATCAAGGAGTGTAGGTGCGAAGCTTGTGGAAGCTCAGAGTTCGTTTCTTCCTTCTTCCTGTTCTTCTCGGTTTGGAGGTTTTCAAAGGTAGGGAAAGTTAGGAATGATTTATTGGTTGCCTCTTTGAGTTGCATGATGGATATTTTCATCTAAATATTGTCATTTTGACTAAATTTGGATTGAATTCTTGATGTTGATTAAGCTTTGGGATTTTGAGCATGTGGTAGTAAATTTTGATGATTTTGAACTATTTGGTGGTTGCGTGTGGTGTGTAAATGTGGATTTTGGTGTTGCGTGCTTGGATTTTCTTTTTTTTTCATATGGGTTTGAGGCAAATTTGTGAGTTTCCAAATGTAGAACTCATCATTGCATCGAGTGTGGCTTCAAACTGAGGTTCTCTGCCTTGTTCACGTTGGGTGCAGGATTGATGATGTCAGGCGTGAGGTGAGAGAATTGTCTCTACTTGGATTGGTGTTGAGTTTTAAGAGAGAGAATCCTTTCGGGTTGACATGAGGTTAGACGTGGGATTTTTCCATGTCAAGTGTGAGGGCCCAAGGGTTCCTTACCTCAACTACGTTGAACGCAGGTTGTATGGAATTAACTGTGGGCGAGGCACAAAACTCCCTGCCTTGATGGCGTCAGGCACAGGTTGTGGTGTTGAGCACATATTGTTTTGAAAATACTTTTTGTTTACGTGATTACTTGGTGAACATGAATATGTTAGGTAAATCTATTGCATGTTGTATGTGGATTGGTGATGTTGTTCTATGTATATTGATCTAAAATGATATATGTAGATGATTGTATGGTTGACTAGTTGATATGTATTGTTATGCTATAAAATTAATGATGTTGTTAGATCTTTATATCCATTGACTTGGGATAATGCATGTAGATGATGGCTATTGAGATGTTAATGTTGAGAATGCTACAAGCATTAAAGCATGTTGATTGACTTAGGATTAGGGGAGAATGTGTCTTTGAAAGTTGAATATTTGATAGTATGGATAGGTGTTAACTCTTGAAGTAGATTGTCAAGTCTCCTCTAGGCCTTTAGTCAATGTTGGAGTAAGATATGAAGTTGAGAGTTATGACCCTTAACTAATTACTAGAGAGGTGTGTGGTATCGTGTTGATAGTTAGCATGTTAATCCTAAAAGTGACCTGAATAATGTATATCAATGTCGTGGGAGGCACACTCTCAAGCTATACTATACTTGGTGGTATTGAACTTTCCTAGTTTAAGTGGCAACATTCGAGAAATCAAATAATAGGGATTGGTATCCCAACTTAGTTACTGGTCTAGCGGGCTCATAAGGTGTGAAAATGATCGGGTTGGTTCGGTAGTATCAAGCCACTTAAATTGGTCATGTGTTGTAAGAGATTTTGTAGGTAAATGCATGACAACAATTAATACAGGTATAGGCATATGATGTAATGTTATTCATATGCTTGATTGAAAATGTTATTGAATGGCAATGATGTGCTAATATATGAAAAGAGTTGAATGCCATGGATGTTATGATTTTGTTGTATGGTGTACATGTTGAAGTGGTAGATGATTTTACTTCTATAATCATTATATATTGTTTTCTTTGAAATCTAGCCTACCCTTGCATGTTTTACTAATGATTGGACTACGATGATTATGATTTTCATGGGAGTAAGACAGAGTTAGCTAGAGGCAAGTTCAGGCATTGTGAGGCCATGATGGTGGATGGCTTATCGTAGTTTCTTTTGGCGAATTACTCTTATGTAATCAATTGTATAGGTGTTGCTTAACCAACAACCTAGAATTACACTTAGTCTTTTGGATAACTATAATATATATATATATACACATACATATACCTTTATTGTGAATCTAGGAACTATTTGTGTGTTAATCTTAGGTAATGGTAGTTGTTCCACTACTAGTAGGTGATTTCATTAAGTGTAGGCACCAATATGAGTCGTTATAATTTATGGCAAAATAGTGGGCATTAAATAGTAATTTAAGTTAGTAATGATAAATGTGGACACTGGACATTCATTTTAACCAGTTAAAAGAATAAAAACAAGTATAGTAAACATCATTTTAAGTATATGTGATAATTCAATTTCAATAATAGGTTAATAGTAATATATATTTGATTATAAAAAAAGTATTTGATTTTGATTAGATCAATTTTTCATTGGAACTGAAAACCGTTCCAATCTAATTAAAAAAATGATTTTTTTTTCAATTTTTGAATTTTTCATCTTGGTTGTAGCACTTTACATATGACTAGATGGGTTATGAACACCCCTACATGTAGTTAGACATCATATTAGTCTCTCTAAATATATGTATAAATATAACTTCTCAATCCATGTGATTCCAATCTATGATAATCTAGACTAATGACCTGTAAAGACGAGATATTCCTACACCCTTATTGACAAAATGAATGATAACTTTGGAGTCATAATTAATTACAAGTTTTTCCACTTCTTTATTCTATGTCAAAAAGATGGTAGAAGAAACTTCACGAAACTCAACCATTACAACATTAGTAGATCCCAAGTTTCTCAAAAGTTCACCGCACCAGATACCATCATCATCTTGTAATACACTAGCACAAAAGGCTTGCATCCCATAATATCTAGTAGACCATACTAATTAGCTTTGAACCAACCACTTTAAGGGGGAGACCATCTAATATCATAAATTTCATATTTATTAGCCATTAGATACGAGTTTCCCATTATAGTAGTGTGTGAGACCTGCAAAGACTTTTGAAAAGCTACTCTTCCCACTTCAACATGATTAAATTCAGTAGAATTAAAAACAACATTATTTTTCACTTTCCATATACCCATAAGAACAAATAGAAACAAGACATCCCAAGAAACACCCTTAATCAATGTGATTGTATTCATGATGTTAATCTCAAACCAATCAACTAAATCTTGCTAGTAAAAAAGAGGTGATAGTTGAGGACTAATGTTCACCCAAACTCAAGAAACTTTTAGTCAGTTCTAAGAATGTGAATATTTGATTCATCCTCCAAATTCCAAAGAGGACAAGAACCACAATCTACCACAAACCTGTCAAACCTAAATGCATTTGTAACCAACTCACTATGAATACATTTCCATAAGAAAATTTTTTCTCTAGGGTGTGATGATGATTGCCAAATTGTTTCCCAAACAAAATGCCTAAACATAGAGTTTGTGCTTTGAAAAATGTCATACACAAACTTTGTAGAGAAAATCTTAGTATTTGTCAGGAAATATATGACTTTATCTTTAGGCAACTCAACCTAGGGTGGTAAGATACTCATGATTTCCATAAATAACCAATGTAATAAGGTACTGGAAAGTTTGGACTTGCCATGCCTCTTCATTAGTTGCACAATCAACCACTAATAAATCATTGCTCAAATTAGGGGTAGGACTAACAATATATCAAAAATAACAAACTTGAATGGCAACCATCTTCCCCACCAAAAATTGACAATAGCACTATTCCTTAATAATTATTAACCATCAATCATCAAATCTCATACCTTACTAATACTCCTCCAAAGAATAAAAGCA